GGTTTATGGCCAAAAATCCATGCATGACACCAAAACTGTAACACCCCGTTTATTTAAATAAATTAATAAATGTAAGTCCGGAACTAATTTGTGAAGAATTTTGATAGTTGGGTTTTTAGTAAATTACGGAGTCGATTGAGAAGGATTTTAGAAGCAGGGGTATGTTTGGTAATTATTGGGACTTATTATGAAAGAGATTTTTGAAGCCAGGGTCGAATTGGTAAATTATGACTAGGTTTGAAAATAAATCTAGAAGTGAGGGGCCGTTAGTGTCATTATGGGATTGACTTTGGAGGCCGGGTATATAACCCTTATGAGAACCCTAACCCTATTTGGGTATCGGCCGCAACTCATGAAATCAGCCGCCATCATCCCGATCTCCCCTCTCGCGCTCCGATCAGATGAAGTTCTGACGTTCGCCGCCTGCTACCTCGCCACCACGATGTCGTCACAATCATTGTTGTCGGTGACGCTTTGCACGAGCGAAAGAAAACCGCCTGGGCTACGTCGGGGAAACGTGGCAGCGTTCTTGGATTCTCCCTCTCCTCTCCTTCGTTGTTCTCGGTGAATCAACGTTGTGTACGTCGGATGCTGCCGCCAGCAGCCCTATGGTTGCCGTTTTGGGTCATCGCCGCTGTTGGTCGCCGTCTCTAGGATTCCAGGCGTCGCCTGCCACCCGTAGCGGCTGAGTTGGAGATGTCTCGGTCTGCAGATCATGTACGTTTGCTTGCTTGGGAATCAAGAGAACCGCCGGCTGTCATCGCGAACCACCACCACTGCCGCCTCTCCGTGATTCTGCCGCCGTCAAACGCCACAGGTGGGTGGCTGTGTTACTATTCCGGGCAAAGGGTGTAGTGTATGTTTATTGTAGTGTATATGTGGATGTATTTCTTTTGTTAGAGTGTTTTTGTCAAGCTGGAAAATCAAGATTAGCCGCCACCACCACCGTGAGGTGGTGGCTGCCGCCACGAGCCACCGCCGGCCACCATGGTGTGGCTATGTGTGTGTGTGTGTTAGTTAGTTAGTGTGTGTGTGATATTTTGGATTAAAGTTTTGTAATTGTAATTAGAAATGAATAATAAAAAAATAATAGTAACCACCACCGTAAGGTGGTGGCCGCCGTCGTGAGCCACCATTGACCACTACTACCCGAGGTGGTAGTGGGTGGTGCCCCTCTAGCAAGCCCTAATGGACTTAGCAAAACCCTAATGGGCTTAAAGATTCATTTTTGGGCCTATTGGGCCATGGTTGAGTGAAAACCCTAATTATGTGCATTTGGGCCTTAGACTTATTGGACCCACCTTTGGGCCATTGGGATGGGATTGTGTATTAATCCCAAATCACTCCATATCACTTATCTAGTAGAGTAAAGGACTTAATGGATTAAGTCCTTAATGGGTTAAGTCATTAATGGGTTAAGTAAGAAACACCTAACCCTAGTTATCATTTTATGTGAAACCCTAATTTCACTTGGGCTTTGTGTTGGGCCATCCAAGAACAAGCACATGGACTAGAATAATTTAATGGGCTTTAGGGTAAGGCCCATAGGAGGGTGTGGGCCCAATTTGGAAAATTGGGCCATAGATGGGCCATAGTTGGGCCTAGATGGTTGTATGGTATTGGGCCCTTAGAATGAGACATGTTGGACCGGACTGAACAATTGGGCCTTAAGGGAAGTCCATGTAGAGGTTTGGGCCCAATTTGGAAAATTAGGCCAAAGGTTGGGCTTTGAGCCATAGTTGGACTTTGGGCCTTTGGATTGGGCCTTGGGACTGAGTCAAGATAAGTTAAGGGTACAGTAGTATTTTACCCCAAGCATGGAATTATGGATATGTGATAGAACCTAATTATTAATTGGGTGTTATTTTGGTGTTGACAGTTCGGGAATCTGTCATCCAGCAGCTGGGGTTGAGTCTGCGGGACTTCAGCAGTGTGGGATTGTGTCTACGGGACTTCAGCAGTGTGAGGTGAGTTTCCTTCCAGTAGGAACGGGTCTACGGCCACAATGCCGACCCGTTTAGTTAGTAGTAGTTCCGGACTACGGTTCGATGCAGTAGTTCAGTATGATTGGTGTCTTTGTGATACAGGCATGGTATGTGTTATGTGTTCCGGACTATGGTCTGATACAGTATGCAGTATATGTTTTCATATTATATGCTATGTTATGCTATGATCAGTCAGTTCCAGACTTCGGTCTGATGCAGTGGGCAAGGCCCTAGTTAGTTCCGGACTTCGGTCCGATGCAGTGGGCGAGGCCCTAGTTAGTTCCGGACTTCGGTTCGATGCAGAGGGCGAGGCCCTAGTTAGTTCCGGACTTCGGTCTGATGCAGTGGTCGAGGCCCTAGTTAGTTCCGGACTTCGGTCCGATGCAGAGGGCAAGGCCCTAGTCAGTTCCGGACTTCGGTCCGATGCAGTGGGCGAGGCCCTAGTTAGTTCCGGATTTCGGTCCGATGCAGAGGGCGAGACCCTAGTCAGTTCCGGACTTCGGTCCGATGCAGTGGGTAAGGACCAGTATGTGCTTTATATGTTATTGTATGGTATGTGGTAGTTTGGGGAGACTCACTAAGCTTCGTGCTTACAGTTTTCAGTTTTGGTTTCAGGTACTCAGTTTTCAAAAGAGGAGCTCGGGAAGATTGCAGTGCACACACCATTTGTTCAGCCTGGGATGTTTATACTCTGATATCATGACAGTTGTTATATTATTCTGAGATACATTGTTGTGATTTTTCTATGATGTATGATGACTATGGTTTTAGTATTGATTTAAAACGAAATTTTCAGACTGTATTTTTGGGATGTTACAAAAACTCATTACTAATCCAGATCCAAAGCACCAAATACCCTCAATGGCCTAGAGATTCATAACGTTGCAAACTTTATGGGATCTCACCACTCCAAACAACAAGAACATGAAGATTTATGGACAAAACTCAAGATCTAGGAACGTATCATGATAAAAATCGAGTCTTGGACACTTACAAAGGTCCAGAAGAGTGCTACAACAAAGGATGATGACTTCGTTGTTGATACTTAGCTCACTTCTTCTTCTTTCTTCCTTCAATGGCTTCAAAGGACACCCAAAAGGGCTTAAATAAAGGAGGAAGGGGATTAGGGTTTCTCAAGTCTCAAGTACACTGATGGAGTCTGAGGGTGAGCAAACCCTAGCCTCCTCATTCCTTTAAATAGGAAGCAAAGCTCGAAAAATAGGGTTTTTCAATTGCCAGTTGTCACGTCGTGGCCATATACTGCCACGCCGTGACGACTTAAATGATTCAACAATCTTATCTTGATTTGCCACTTCGTGGTGCCTCCACTATGCCGTGGCAAACCCTAAAATGCCAAAAATTGAAAATGTGAAGTACCTCGGGATTTGGGTGTTACAACTCTCCCATACTTGGTGTAGTTTGTTATCTTTTAGGTCCAATGCAATTACTAAATAGCAGTGTACTTTCATTTATTTGTTTATTATAAAATCCTACTTTCGTTTCTTTCTATTACAACATTGTACTTTCACTATTCTTATTACAACATTATACTTTGAAAAATATAGAGAAGTAATTTGCTATAACCAACAACTTAATGAAAGTACATTGTTGTTTCTTAAATTCTAATCTTCCTGATTATATGTTTTCTTGTGTGAATTTTTTCTAGATTGTTTGTGGTTGTGGATGACATATTCTGTTTATTTCAAGGTCGTGTAGAGAATGTTTTCCCGCTAAAGAAACAATGTGAATTAAACAAGACAACAAACAAAGTTATTATTGTTATCGAGGCATACAAAGAACATTAAGGGACAGAGGTCCTTATCCTGTGAAACAAGTTGTAAGAGACCTTTAAGGAAAATAAGTCCCGAGGTGGAGGTGGCAGCAAAGCCTGTTAAAAAAAGGAATAAGAAGGCATTTGTTTCAAGTAACTTCATCTCAATTCATATAAAGATTTTCCAAGCTTCTTTATGTTCTTACTTTGATTTCTTCAATTTATTTTAGACCTTATAGAAGGATTTAGTGCAAGATCTCAAAAAACAGAGCCAATACTTGAAGAGAATGAAGAATCTGAAAACCCATCTCAAGAGAAGAAGGAACAAGTCTACTTTCATTGTTGTTGTAAGTAATATCACTGTACTTTCATTTATTTGTTTATTATAACATCCTACTTTCAGTTGTTGTTAGTATTTTATTGGCTTACAATTACCATATTTCCATTCACGATGTTGATGACAGTATGCTATTTTTTTAGGGGACCGATTTAGAATGAAATGTTGTGCTCTTTGATAATGTTGAAACTGTAAAGAAAGGTTGTGGCAAATCCTTTGTACCACCCCTAAAGGTTCGTATTTTGTGTTTCTAACATTTGATTTGGTGTGATAGGTCTCCTTTAAAACTTAATGTTTAATTGATGATTATCAACCGCTATCAGAATCCAGAAATGCAGGCCTCAACATTCTGAAATGCATGCGTCTCTCCATACTACTCGCTCAAAAACTAATCAAAACATATCAGGAGATGCTCCAAATCATTGAAGACGACAGATAAACAAATAAACTCAGTTCCGACTTTTTTTTTGAATGCTATCTATATTATTGATGTGTTTTGTCTATGTATTATGTACTAATGTGATTAATGTCAATTTTTGAATGTTATCCATGTTATCATATAACCACACTTTGTTGTAAAGTTTGAGTTTAATCCCTCAACTTTGTTACTTTGAACACCTAAAGTTTGAACTCTGTAAAACGTCATTAATTTAACAAACAGGTACAAACTCGTGGTAAAATGCAAACTTTTTTTACTAGTTTCTAAACATTCTATAACAATTTTTGTTATATTCTTGCTAGATTTGTTCCATTTTAATATATATGTTGTTCTATATTTTTTTTATTAAAATTTGTAAAAGAATTATATTATTTTATATCTAATTAAACGATTATTTTGATCTAATAAAAAAAAATGTGTCCTATTCACCGACTTTGCAAACCTTCCTATCCAATCCCTCCCAAAGAAGTGAAATACGATGCCTCTTCGATCTTCACAAATACTCATAAATTAATGATCCAAAGGCTGTTTATTTATCGCAGCTTCTATGAATGCTACCTCACGTGATTGTTCATCATCGTAAGCAAAGAGCAAGAAATGTTTTTTGGTCTTATCATCCCCCTACACATATTGTCATCATCATGATGAGTACGCAATTCGCAATTTATTAATCACATTTTTCTTGGTTTCAGTATGCGACCCTTCTTCCTTCTCTCTCTCTCTACGTAACTTCGACGACCCACTTTCTCTCTCTAAACCCAAACTTACAGAACAAGGAAAAAACGCAGTGGTTGGGCGCTAATATATTGTGAAAAAGAATGGAATATGCCATTGTATCGAAATTTGTTCGCCGCCAGACAATCTTAGATACTCGTCAATAAATCCTCCCAAATTTCTATACTATATAACAAAGGGACAGATACCACTTTCCTCTTTTGTTATTGACTCATCATTATTCATTAAGGTACTGTATCTCTGTTCCTTTTGTTCCTAATACGTCTTTATTGTGACCAATTGCGTCATTGAAATTGATATCTAGTGTCTAAACATGTTATGGTAGCTTTCGATTCTGTTAATTGTCGTTCTGTTCGCTCCAAATTCTTAATTTTGGAAACTGGGATTTGCATATTCGTTCAGGAAACCCTAATTTTGTACTTTCGAGTGTCATCACAGTCATCTTGATGGTGAAATGCATGATTTTGGTACTCCGATCAGCAGTTTTGAACTGTTTTAGGTTTCTGGTTTCGATTCCTAATTGAATTATACATGACGTTGATGTGGATTCTCTATGTCGTCTCTCTGTTTATGGGTTTTATCTGTTTCGAGATACTTTTCCTTTGGATTCTTGTTAGGACAATCGAGTTATGTCCATAAGTTACTATTTCGAAATTCAAGAATCAAAATTAAATAATCAGATTATCAAGTGCTTAATACTTGGCATAGCTAAGTAAGTTTACATATGAAACTTGCTAATTAGATTCTTCAAATCTGTTCATTTGTTCCTAAGTAACAAGACTTAATCTGTAAGCTATATATGAGTGTTTCTTAAATCGAGTCTAATAATTTTTTGATATGGCAGATTAGATTCTCATCAAGTATATGTGAATCAAAAGCCTCGATTTGAAGATTAAAAATCAAATATGGGGTTAGATAAAGAGCACAGTGGTATGCTGGATATTAACATGGAGAAAGTGCGGACGATTCTAACCCATACATACCCTTACCCTCATGAACATTCACGCCATGCCATCATTGCAGTTGTTATTGGTTGTCTGTTTTTTATATCATCAGACAACATGCATACACTCATTCAAAAGCTAGACAACAACATCAAATGGTGGTCAATGTACGCGTGTTTACTCGGGTTTTTCTATTTCTTTTCATCTCCATTTGTAGGAAAAACAATTAAACCAAGCTACTCGAATTTCAGTCGATGGTAAGTTACCTTTTTACCCTTCTTTTTTGACGGATTTGTTAGTGTTGTTCATATTTTTTTTTTTTTTTTTTTTTGTGTTTTTGTAGGTATATAGGATGGATATTAGTGGCAGCTGTATACCATCTTCCAAGTTTTCAGTCAATGGGAGTGGATATGAGGATGAATCTTTCCTTGTTTTTGACTATATACATTTCATCTATTTTTGTACTCCTTGTTTTTCATTTAGTTTTTTTGGGCCTTTGGTATCTTGGTCTTGTTTCTCGTTTGGCTGGGAGGAGACCCGAGATCTTAACCATTGTTCAAAATTGTGCGGTAAGTTCAATATCGGAATTGGAATTGGAATTCCATTCCAGTCCTGCGTTTATGGAATTGGTTAATAACATGATGACTTTATGTGTAGGTGTTAAGTGTGGCATGTTGTGTGTTTTATAGCCACTGTGGCAATCACGCATTGAATGAAAAACGATTAGGAAGAAGAGATTCCGGACTTTTTTCACTTTGGAAGAAAGGAGAAACAAGCATATGGCTCTCAAAATTCCTTAAAATTTACGAATTCAAAGATGAAATATGCAAATCATGGTTTGCTCCTGTGGGGTCCGCACGTGATTATCCACTTCTCTCTAAGTGGGTCATATATGGAGAAGTACGATACTTATATAGTTATATTTATCATCATTTTCTTCACCATATCATTATTTATCTTTTTTACATATTTTTTTTTACAGTTTTCTTGTAGTGGCCCATGTGAGTCATCCGATGAAATTTCCCCTATTTATTCATTATGGGCAACGTTTATTGGACTTTACATGGCTAATTATGTGGTGGAAAGATCAACTGGGTAACTTTATTTTACACCAAAAACCAATTATAATTCAAGGTTTTTAACTTGAAATTACTAATTTAAATGCTTTTGATTGCCAGATGGGCTCTTACTCATCCATTGTCTGTAGAACAAACCGAGAAGCTGAAAGATGAGCAGATGAAGCCTAATTTTTTGGATATGGTTCCTTGGTATTCAGGGTATATAAATAATAAATTCATCCCTTGTGTTGTTTATTTAAATGACATGTATGTATATATTTTGTAATTGATATTATATATCTATGTATGTTGCAGAACATCAGCTGATTTGTTCAAGACTGTGTTTGACCTTCTTGTATCCGTGACTGTATTTGTTGGAAGATTTGATATGAGAATGATGCAAGCAGCTATGAGTAGGGTCCACGAAGGGGCAAAAGAGGATTTTCTATATGATCATCTTAGTGAAAAAGATCATTTATGGTTTGATTTCATGGCTGATACTGGTGATGGTGGAAACTCATCTTATTCTGTTGCTAGACTTCTTGCTCAACCTTCACTTTATGCCTTCAATGATGAATCCCTACAATCATTACCTCGTGGGGACCTCCTTCTTATTGGAGGCGATCTCGCGTAAGTCTCACTCTCATCATTTTTTTTATCTTCAAATCTACGTAAAATTTACGATTCTACCCTTGTTCAGGTACCCTAATCCCTCAGCGTTCACTTACGAAAAACGGTTTTTTCGTCCTTTTGAGTATGCTCTTCAACCACCTTCGTGGTATAAAGATGAGCATATAGCGGTTGATAAACCGGAATTACCATTTGGTGTGTCTGAACTCAAACGTTATGATGGGCCCCAATGCTTTGTTATCCCTGGGAACCATGGTAAATGACCGTTTTGCCCTTACATTCCAACAAACAGTATATAATAATTGATTTTGTGGTTTTACAGATTGGTTTGACGGGCTTCAAACTTTCATGAGGTACATTTGTCACAAAAGCTGGTTAGGTGGATGGTTAATGCCACAAAAGAAAAGTTACTTTGCATTACAATTACCAAAAGGGTGGTGGGTTTTTGGTCTTGATTTAGCTCTTCATTGTGATGTCGATGTTTATCAATTCAAATTCTTCGCCGAGTTAATAAAAGAAAAGGTAACTTGTTTGTTATTTTGTTACATGATTTTTATTTTCTAATTTATATATATATATATATATATATATATATATATATATATATATATATATATATATATATATATATTTTGTAGGTTAGAGAAACGGATTCGGTGATTATTATGACACACGAACCGAATTGGATCTTGGATTGGTATTGGGATGATGTGACTGGAAAAAACGTGTCACATCTTGTGAAAGATCATTTAAAAGGAAGGTGTAGACTTAGAATGGCGGGTGATTTACATCATTACATGCGTCATTCGCGGGTCCCATCTGAAACACATGACTCTGTGCAACATCTACTTGTTAATGGTTGTGGTGGGGCCTTTTTGCATCCCACACATGTTTTTAGTAATTTTGATAAAGCTTATGGTGCAACTTATGAAATGAAAGCCGCATATCCATCTGTTGAAGATTCAAGTAGGGTAAGTAAGCAACCCCTTGTAAAAAGTATTAATGTGAAAAAAAAAACAAAAAGAGCTTACCAGATTAAGTCTTCAAATATGCAGATTGCTCTTGGTAATATCTTGAAGTTTCGCAAGAAGAATTGGCAGTTTGATTTCATTGGGGGATTTATTTATTTCATATTGACCTTTTCGATGTTCCCACAAGTACGTATTTATATTTATATTATACTATGTTAACATTTCTAGTAAATCCAAAACGCATGATATTGTCACTTTTTTTCTTTTCAGTGTAATCTTGGCCATATTTTACATAAAGATGATACTTTTTCGGGGCATGTGAAGAACTTTTTTAGCACAGTGTGGGATGCTTTTATGTACATGCTTGGGCAATCGTATGTATCTTCTACGGGTGCTTTGTTGCTATTAGTGGCTGCAATATCATTTGTTCCTTCAAAAGTGTCGCGAAAAAGAAGAGTAGCAATTGGAGTTCTTCACGTTTCTGCTCATCTTTCAGCTGCTTTGATTCTTATGTTACTAATGGAATTAGGCGTTGAAATATGCGTACAACACAAACTTTTGGCAACTTCAGGCAAGATCTATGCTCATAACATATAGTTATTAGAGTAAATTACATCTTTGGTCCCTGAGTAAAGCTGGTTTTTGCAATTTTGGTATTTATTTGATTTCAGGGTATCATACGTTATACGAATGGTACAAATCGGTGGAAAGTGAGCATTTTCCGGACCCCACAGGGCTTCGGACACGTATCGAGCAATGGACTTTCGGGCTTTATCCGGCTTGCATTAAGTATCTCATGTCAGCTTTTGATGTTCCCGAGGTTATTTTTTATACATTTTTTTTTTAAAAAAAAGTTAAATTGAAAATTGCGTTTGATTTGATTTTTTTGAAATGATTAGGTGATGGCGGTGACACGGACGAATATATGCAAGAACGGGTTAAATTCACTCTCGCGAGGTGGTGCAACCATATACTATGCGTCTGTGTTTCTTTATTTTTTGGGTTTTCTCAACACCTGTGGTTTCTCTAGTATTTGGAAGCTATTTGTATATTTGTATCAATTGGCTCCAATTACACTTTGATGAAGCTTTTTCTTCCTTGCGGATTGCTAATTACAAATCCTTCACACGCTTCCACATCAAGGAGGATGGCGATCTTGAAGTCTTCACTCTTGCAGTTGATAAGGTATGATAGTACAAATTGTACCATGTTTTGTACTGGAACTGATACTGATGTCAATGGAATATGCAGGTTCCGAAGGAATGGAAGCTAGATCCTGAGTGGGATAATGAGGTGAGACAACCACAAATGGCTAGTCACAATCGGAAGTATCCGAGCAAATGGAGGGCGAATGCTTTTCATCAAGACCCCATAAATACTGTTAGAATTGTTGATCAATTTGAAATTCAACCAACATATAAATTGCAAGTGGCAGCAGTAAATGGGTCCATGTCTCATTGAATGTAGCTTTAAATTCAATGGATTTGTTTAAGAAATCGTGTTTCATTTAGATATGGAATACAGTTATTAGTTGTAGAACTCTAAATGTATGATGCAATGTTGCCTCCATGTTATAGTGTAGTGTAGATATTTTGTATGCAAATTCCAGTTGATTTAGCATTCTATAGTATCTTTGGAATTCAAAATCCTCATACAAAACATCATTCTTATAGACACCAACTAATTAGGGTTTTACTTTTGGAGAGATCATGAGCCGAACTATCGCCCCCATATGCATGAATGACTTGCTTGCTTCTTTTAAGCATTTAGCTTTCACGTCTCGTGGCCAATGCTGCAATCAAAGATTTTTTGTTCTATTGACATCAGTATTAAGTCAGTATAATACATGTCAAACACAATAATAGTAGTAGCATTTGTTAAAGAAAGTTAGGTGGAGACCTGTCCTAGAGCATTCAGCTTCTCTCTCGTATCCTTTAATAACTCTTCAGGGTCCCCTGGCCACTGGCAACACTCCAGTTCTCTTCCTTCTAGTATCTTTTCAGATGTCTGTATAAAAGAATGGATTTGTTTACCCTATTAATAAACTACCACATGAACATATTCTTAGACATGAGTTGGATGCTAGAAAAAGTGAAGAACACACCTTTTTTAAAATCACTTGTCCACCTGCTATGTGGCTGAAGTAAATATTGTAGAGATGACAGAAAAAGAAAGGAGGATTCTTCACTGCAAGTTCTTCTAAATACTTTACATACTTTGCACTAGGGCTTTGAGGATCCGGGATTTGTATATTCTGCTGGCTAAGCCACTCTATATCCTTTGTAAAACTTTCACTTCTTTCCAATCCAGTCTTTCTGAAGTAGGCAACTGTAACAAAGGGTAAAACAGAAAAGTTCTAAGCTGTACATGGAGCATCAATGGATTCTATATTGGATGCAATTACAGGGAAAATTGGGGGTCATTTCGCCTTAACAAAAGTAAGAAATGTAGATGGATAATCTAATGTAATAAGCAACGAAGAATGTATGGAGTTTAATTTGTGAAGCAAAGAAACTCACAAGATACATCTTGCGACTCTTCGACCAACCGCTCAATCGTGCTAAATACATGCCGATTTTCAACCAGAAAACTCATTAATCCGCGCAGATCAGGTTCCCACGTCCCAGAGTCCTCATTATCGGTTCCACCATCATCTTCATCAGATCCGTCAATTTCTCTATCACTGTTACCAGAATCGTCATCTTCCGTCTCACTGTTGTCATCGTTGTCATCCAACTTGCGACGCTCATGATCAGGTTTCTTTTTACGGAGTCTCATAGCAACGAATCTCATTTCTTCGGTGATACCTCCCTCTTCTCCAGGCTGCTTCCTCCTAAACATCCGCTGGTACTTTCTCACAGGCTTCCGCTCATTAAGCGGCGCTGACGCGTTATCCGGCGATGATAATGACGATGATACCGTCGAATCCTCGGTAGTTGAGTTGAAGCAACAAGAGATAGCTGGAAACCTAATTGATTTATTACTCCTGGGGTTTGAATTCGTTGTTGATATTTGTGTAATAGAGACAGTTGTGTGACGGAAATGGTAATGTATCGAGTAACAGGATGGACGTGGCAGTGACGAGGGTCTGAATGTCGGTACGTTCACCATTGCTGCCGCCATGTTTGTTTTCATGGCAGTCTCTACAAGCTTTACTCCGGTGCTACGGAAAATGAGACTGCGCCAACAGAGGAAGGCACTCCAAAGTCCCAAGTCCTATCCCCAAGGCCCAAGAGACTTTGTTTCTAAATTTTGATTCGCAGGGTTTTAGTTTTAGCCTTGAATTATTTTTTCTTTTTCTTTGAAAATTGTTTTTAAGCTTTTGGGTTAATTTTTTTTTTTTTTTAAATTTTAAATTATTTTATTTTTTTATTTGTCTCTTTTAACAAGTTTATACGGTAATTTGATGGTTTTACATTTTTTTTTCTCATTACTAATATTTGTCCGTTTATTATTATATATGATGTTCTTGATAGTTTTAAATATTAAAATATAAATAAGACACTTATTTTATTTATTTATTTTTTTTAAAACAAAGAGAAAGACTATTGGATTATAACTTAGGGTTAGAGATTTGGGCTTAGGAATTAATAATTATTACTTATGATTTATAGTTTAGGGCTTGTTTTTTTTAATTACATAAAAGAAATAAGTTTTTTTTTTTTTTTTGATTGAGTTTTAAATTTAATCTTTTCTAAATTTTTTTTATTTGCCTTTTTAGCAAGTTTACCGATAATTTGGTGGTTTTACATTTCTTTTTTGAAAAAAAACTACTAACATTTTTTCTTTCAAAAAACTCTTATATTTGACAAGAAAAATTGTCTGGACAATCTTTTTTTGTTTTAGCTCATAATTCATATGTTTGTGCTGTTGTTATTTATGGTGTTCTTGATAGTTTTCAACATTAATATCTAGATGATACATTTGTTTTGTTTTTCAAAATAAAGAGAAAGACTTATCGATTATGGCTTAGGGGTTAGGGTTTAGAGATTATGGCTTAAGGATTAATGCTTATAACTTGTTGATGGGTTTTGTGAAGCTAAAAACGATCTTTTTTATAGACCAATTTTAAGAACGACAAACGGAAGACTATAATTAACTAGTTTATGTTTATGATCATTTAAAAAAACCACTGATAGATCCAAATATATGAACTAGAAAGATTATGATAACCATAAGATGTTTAGAACTACAACCTTTGAAGACTTTGATCCCATTTTGTTTTGGTGAGTTGATGAAGATGACAAGAACTCAAGTGTAGAGTTTCTCTAAAATGTATCCACGAGTAAAACACAATGGATGCTAGTCCTAACTTGCAATATAAAACTCTTAAGTCTTTAAGAACTTATCTTATATAAGTCTTAAAGGAGAGTTCAAGTGTCTTGATCTTGCTTCTTCATCTTCTTAACACTTTTAAGAATTGTCTCATGAGACAGAGAGGGCTAAAATTTGTAAGTAATCAACCGAAGAAAACTAAAGGCTCTTCCTTTCCTCTTAATGCTAGTCATCGACTTTCAAGATTTGACTGCATTATGACAAGATTATGGCTACCAAAGAAGTATGGAGGACAAGACTTTGGAAGAGGCTTCAAGTATAAATAAAATTAATTTAGAAATTGAGTGACTTTTTTTTAATAGTTTGAGGGTCTTTCATATAGTCACAAATAGCTTATCAATATACATCTGGAAATTGTAGTGGTTGCAACTTTTGATAGTTGGCAAAAATTCATTAGAATGCTGTAACGTCTCAAAAATACGACCCAAAATTTTCATTTTAAAATTTATAAAACGGTAATCCAAAACATTGTCATACAACCAAAATGGAACAAAGTGTATCACAACATCATAAAATATCAGAGTAAATCACAAAATGCGGAATGAAGTGGTGTGTGCTCTTCAATCATCCCGGGCTCTTCCATTTTGAAGCAGAAGTACCTGAAACATAAACTAAAATACGTAAGCACAAAGCTTACTGAGTTCCCCAAAATACCACATACCATACATAATAAACACATACTGGGCCCCGCCCGACATCGAGTCTCACCCGGCCTCGGGTCCCGCCAGGCATCGAGCCCCGCTCGGCTTATAGATCTATCAATCACCAGACCCCGCCTGATATTGGGCCCCACCTGACATCGGGCCCCGCCCGATACATATATAAACATATAAACATATAATCATACTAACACATACAATAATCACAAAGATAATAGCATACAATACAATCATCGGGCCTCGCCCTGCTCGGTATACATACCAATGCATACACATGCAAGAGCCACGCAGACATCTAGCATCCTAACATAATAAACCATAGGTCGGCATTGGTGCCTTCGACCCACTAAACACAGTGAGGATACTCACCTCAGACTGCTGATCTCACAGAGAAATTTCTGGCTGCTGGTCCGAAAATCCCCGCGCTATCATCATATAATAGCATCCAATTAATAATTGGATCCCGACTCATACTAAGAGTCTAAACTAGGGTAAAAGACCATTTTACCCTTTACCTAACTTGGCCCAAGGCCAAAGCCCAAACCAACTACTCAAAAAAACCCAAATCCAAAAATGGTCACCCAAAGCCCAATTATGGCCCAATCTTCCAAATTAGGCCCAAATACCTTCGTGAGCCTTCAACCAAAAGAGCCCAACATAATGACATCAGCCCAAAAATAGAAATTTGATGGCCCAACAAGGCCCTAATCTCCTAAGGTCCAACATAGGCCCAAAACCGAGAAGCAAAAAATCTGAAGCCCACTTGCTGAGTACGCGGGGCGTACTCAGCTCGTACGCTTAGCGTACACCCTCTGGGGCTAGTACACGCAGCGTACTCCCAGTTGACCACCCCACTTCATTAAGCACTTAATCCATTGAGACTTCAAGCGAAACTTTTAGATCTGATTCCTTAGGGTGACTTTTCACATAAAGTTGGAAACCTTACATACATGCATGTTGTTGGAACAAAGTTCTGTTAGGATCGATAGATTCTATGCAAGCAAACAATTAAGGACGTAATTATGAACACAAGAATGGCTTTAAAGATGTCGTATGATTAAAACTTTAACACCTCATAAGAGCTCGATTAAGAACTTCGACTGTAGAGGTGTTTAGGGTTACAAAACAATAATCAATGATAATCAAGAACCTCTCTAATGCATACATGCATGCACTATTTATAGTTTAACCCTACTAGATAATCACGGATGGTCAGGCCCAATCCGGATATACAAAACAAGCCCATGACGCAACACAATAATACCTAACAATCTCCCCCTTTGCGTCAATGGAGCCGAAAGCTCAGTTCGGTTGAGCTACTGAAGACTTCTTGACTGTCTTGAACACCTTCGGTATGATGGCCAATAGATGATGACGAAAAGTAATGTACCACTGAAGCATGTCCGTGAAGTTCTTCTTGTCTGCATCAGAATTCTGCTTGCACCGATGAATGATACTGATAATGTGCTCTAAGCAGTCTGTGGAGAACAAATGTTTATCAACAAGAGCGAACAGAAAACGATTGGCTTCGCCTCTTGTGAACATCACAGTAAGATGTGTAGAATCAATCTGGCCCATCCTCATTTTATTCACATCTCCTGGTTTCGCTGTTGGCTTCACAGTTGGTTTCTTATTCATCACTTTTGCTATCTCCTGATCCATTGCAGCTACTTCATGGATATAGGAGGCCAACATCCTCTTCAAATGATCCAGTATCGGCTCATATTCTTTCGGATTGGTGAGCAAAATGTTAAACAACAGAATCCAATCATGAGGATTCAAATTTGGAAGATCTGCCAGGGAAATAACCGACACCGAGTTTGCTGATCCTCGGGTGATTTTGAAACTAACATTTATGAACTTCCCGGCAGGCGAAGGTTTTAGTACCTTGACAGTAACAATCTTTTGTGCACTCCATGTCAAGTACTGAGGCTGACCGAACTTCAAATAAAAATCAATTAGTTCACGATCAATTTTCGGATGAGGGAAAGGAACTTCAACAGTCGAATCAAAACAATGAAATGTAAATGCCTTTCGTGTTATCGGCATATCGAACTGTGAATCCTTTGAATTATCACAATCAAAAGAAGCGACAGGTTCCAGCCAGTAGACGCTTGGAAACTCTATTGCCTCCTTGATGAGTGTTTCTCTTGTCCAGAGAGGAAACAAGGCCTTTTTTGCAGTTTAAGGCATCTTGTTCTTCCTTGTTCCTTTTCTCCCTCTCTTCAGCCTCCCTCGCAACCCTTAAGGTTTCATCCAATTCTTTGTCCCTCTTCTTTCGTTTTAGGGCCTTTAATAATAGTCTCTTCTTCTTCTTCATCACTGTCATCATCAATCCCCTTCTTCTTTTCTTTGTTCCCGGAACCCGAAGCTTCATTACCCTTCGGTTCGGTTTTAACTGTGACTTTGGGTTGAGCTGTGACTTTCGGTTGAGAAGTTTCAGTTTCAGTTTTCACAGTTGCCTTCGATTGAGCACCTTCTCCCCCTTGTTTTGGAGGTATGAATCTCTCCGAAACACCCTTCATCTCATGTAACATTGCAAGGGCAGGAAGAAGTTTTGTAGTCAGATGATTTCGTATAGTGAGAGTAAGGATAGGATCATGAGCACCAAGAATATTGGTAAGCATATCCTTGACATCTCCTACACAGCTTCTGAATACTGCACGCTCAGTCTTCAATAATGAGATCTCCTTTTCAGCCTGAGCCAACTGCACCTTATGAACTTCAATTGTTGAGGCTTGGCGTGCAAGATCTTCCTTTAGAGCACTCTCCTTTGCTAAATCAGCTTGGAGGGTTGAAAGATGAGAAGTTACTAAACTAAGCAGAGAAGTATTCTCAGCTTGAATAGATGAACGAACCGCCTCAAACTTCGTTTGCTCCTCTTGAAGTGATTTGGATAAGGAATCCACTGAAGCATTTACCTTGGCTGCATTGGAATCAGCATGGCCTTTGAGTGATTCAAGAAATATCTGAGTACTGTGAACAAGTTCTGTAACCTCAGTAGTGGCCTGCTTGCAAGAAGAAGTGGAATCCTCAACAGCCTTCGTGGATTTGTCAATAGCCCCAGTATATTGCTCAAAAGCGGTATCCATAAAATCTTTAAGCACAACATCATTGTATGACTTGTTGGCAGCAAGCAATTTATCGAGCTTATCATCAATACTCTGCACTTGTTGGTGAGTGACAGGAGCCTCTTCATCATCGTCGGTAGGAAGCCGATAGGGACTGTAGTAAGTAGAGTC